CCTCAATTGTTCCCAGCGCAGGGTCTTTTCCATTGAGTTGGTTCTTTACATCAGGTGGCCAAAGTGTTGAAGCTTCCACATCAAAACTTCCAACGAATATTCAGGGTTGATTTCCTTTAGGATTGGCTGGTTTGATCTTGCTGTCCAAGAGACTCTCAAGAGTCTTCTCCAGCACAACAGTCCAAAGCACCCATTCCTCAGTGCTCAGACTTCTTTATGGTCCAACTCTTTAGAGTTGTTTAAAATAATGGGAAGACGGAAAACAGTGAACACTAACGATCCTTTCTGTGTAGTCTCAATGTAAAGGGAAGGTAGAACTGTGACAACAACAGGAGGTAGAGTGGGAGTTGAATTTTTTTAACTGTAGGAGAAACAATATTCTTTCTAAATGCTGGTCATATCTGGACAATGGCTCAGACAGTAAAGAATCTGCCTGCAAGGCAGGAGACCTGAGTTCGATCTCTGGATCAGGAAGATCCCCTTGGAGAAGAGAATGGCAATCCACTCCAGTATCCTTGCTTGGGAAGTCCCATGGACAGAGGATACTGGTGGGCTGCAATCCATGGGGTTGCAAAGGGCTGGACAAGGGTGAATAACACTTTTCACTTTCATGCTGATCATGGAGCAGCAGAGGGAAAAGCTGGTGACACAGGAGACATGTTGAAGGAGGATCTGAGTGACTGACGATCGGGCTGTGAGGTACAGGGCGAGCAGCTGGCTTGGCCAGAAGTGGTCAAAGTTCACTCGGTGCGAAACCCGTACATGCACATCAAGGTTGGTTGGGGAGTATAGTACTGAAACCTGTTAAGTTCTCCTCAAACTGGCTTTATTTTCTTGGTAAAATAAGAAACAAGGACTTGAGCTGGAAGAATGAGGTTTAGACTACTGTTGATTACCTTAATTTTAAATAACTCAGTTATAGACAAGCTTTATGTATGTATTTAACCATACTCTAGATGTAAATGAATCTTAAACATATTTCATCACTCTGCATGGAAAAGTTTACCCTTTCGGCAAGGAAACAGACACAAGATCATTAAAAACACATATACTCAAAAAGCATCACGGCTTTGGGTTTCCCTGGTGGCCCAGTGATTACCCACCTTCCAACACAGGGACATGGGCTCAGTCCCTGGTCCGAGAAGATTTCACATGCTGAGGAGCAACTAAGTCCATGTGCCCCAACTACTGAGCACGCACACTGCAAGTACTGAAGCCGGCGCACCTACAGCCTGCGGTCCACAAGAGAAGCCTGCACTCCACAACAAAGAGCAGCCCCCACGCGCTGAAACTAGAGAAGGCCCACGAACAGCAACGAAGACCCAGTGCAACCAAAAATAAATATAAATGAACACATCTTAATAAAAAAAAATGCAACCTGCCCTTATCTGATGGCTGGGAAGGGACTTCACATACCTTCCCAGGATGCCCAGTACCTTAGTACAAAAGCAACGCCACATTTTAGGCTAAAAGCAAGCAAGGAAAGCATGGAGGAGCCCTGAGGGCATGTTAAAAAGCACTGATATAAGGCTATTCCCCCAACTGTCTTTCCTAAGGTTGATAGTTTTGGGCCCTAAGTCTCTTAAAAACCCAGAGGTTAATGAGCTGCATGCAAATTCTTTTAGGCTCAGAAGTCATTCATTAGCTGCCTCTGCTTGCAGCTTGTGGGTAAGATTCAACCATCTCTGTGAAAATTTGCCCATTTCTCTAGTCTTTTAAGACATCAGTCTCATAAATATTAATACTGTAATTTTAGGTACGTACGTCTTGGTCAATCCTCGATGTCTTCATAAATAGAAGGTCTCCGTATTTTAAGAAATAGTTCTTATAAGCTATAACTTATTGTATCTTCTCTGCCATAGCTGTTAGTGAGTCATGTGAAGAAATATGATTTCTAAAATATTGCCTATCTCAGGTTCAGTAAAATTTTATTTAGCGAAATGAGCACCGTGGTGGAGTTGGCTCTGGCCTGTAGTTCCCCAATCTAATAGTAGACAACACTTGACTTCAGCCCTATCTTACTTACCTAGCCTTTCATAACAGGCTGAAACTCCATGATAGTAACTGCATTAAGAGACATGCATTTTGAGATATTTCACTACACAGAAAAAGTCTGAACACCTGGATGTTTAGATTTGTTAGGGTTCAGCAGCTTAATATATGGCCAGCAGAAGCTAAGCAGTGCCCCATCCTGCTTTAGTTTTTCCTGCGGAATGCTCTTGGCAGCACTGTCACCCTACTTCCTCTGCTTGATAGCATGATCAGTGAGACTAGTATGCGTGATCTCAAATCCATAAGGTCACACAATACATTCTAAATATTCCATTCTAAGAAGTGATAGTGGCAGAAAACTGAAAGACACAGGTGAACCAGACTATAATCTAGATTAAGTGATAAGAAAGAAAAAAACTTGAGAGAGCCAGTATTACTTATCCACCTCCACAAAGAGGAATTATTGCCAAGTTATCTGACAGCTCCCTGATTCACGTTGAAGTGTGTTCCCAGCATTTAGGGCTACTCACTGGACCACCTTGTCTATGCAATGCTGTATACCTGCAGTTGTTTTCTTGGAACACGTCTTCAAAAGCGCTGTTTAGAAAATACTGCTCTACCAAACAAGAGATGACTATTAACCTTGGACAAACCTCACACTTTATAACATTAGTTTTCACAAAGGAAAATAGGAGGAAAATGTATTTTCTTAATGGAAATAAGATTCTTGGGACAGAGCAAACTGCTAGCCCTAAGTGCCCATCTGCCACAGCAGGAGAGAATGCTGTATTTATCACTATAAAGAGATATGAAGTACTTATTTTCTATAGCAGTTTAATGGCTGAAATTCTAACCGAGCTAATATTCAGACTCTCACATCTCAGAAAATGTTCAGGTACACAAATTAGGATGTTCCAGCCTGGGGAGGCTAACCAGGAGGAGAATATCAAAAGAGACACAGGCTGAAAATCCCCTGAAAATCAAACAAGACTTTTAATGAGAAATCATTTTTGAGAAGTACTTTTTTAAATAGCAAAAAATACTTGTTTTACACTTGTAAGAAAGAAAAACAAACAAACAAAATGATTACATGTTTTCCGGTTACTTTAAAAATTAAATGGTAAATTTTTGTATATGGTAAATCTGACATATATATACGACCACTAGACAGCTAGTGGGAAGCTCCTGTCTAAGTACCAGGAGCTCAGCTCGGTGCTCTGTGATGACCCAAAGGAGGGGCACGGGGGGTGGAACGGAGCTTCAAGAGGGAGAAGATAGATATAGAGAGCTGATTCACATTCTTGTACAGCAGAAACTAACTAACACAACGTTGTAAAGCAATTATATGCAATTAAAAATTTTTTAAATTAACGATAAATCTTACTTTTGATCCATCATCCCATTACTCAAATTGCTACATGAAACACCCTAGACAGAAATGTAAAGTATTTTGAGCTGTATTAATAGCAGTATACATTTCCAGTAGTGGCCAGAATCCAAAATTCATGGTGAAAACCAGCTGACTAGTTTGGCTCAGTGAAAAAAGAAACCATGCTTACGAAGAAGGAAGACTTACACTAAGGTTTGAAATACCATCGCTTGAAGGGGCTATTTTTCCTATTGCTGGAAGTCCAGTTTTCTACTGAAGACCAAAGGCAGTTTCTTCCTGATGCATTTTTTTGCTAAATAAATATTAAATTCTCTTGTAATCTTCCCACTCACTCACACACTATGGTAGTATCTTGTAAGGCTGACAATTCTCAAACTGATCTAATGTAGATGCCACTACAGTCTTTGGAAGGGGTCCTTGACTGTATGAAGATGATGATATCACTGAGTATGGACTGTGTTTTCTATGTGCCAGGCACATACAAGTTGTTGAACTATATCAGTTGAAATGTATCAGCTGATGAATTGGCACATTTATGGAGGAAGACAGAGGTTAAGGAACCTATGATCACACAGCAATAAGAGCTGCAGCCAAGGCTTGAACTGGCTCCAGAATTCATGCTTCCCAACACAATGCTATGCTGCTTTGTGTGAGTCTTGTGAAAATGAACCAGCTGATGAATGGAAATGAACCATGTGATCCACCTCTCCTTAAAAGTCCTATTTTCTTAAAAATGATAGCTTTGCTAAGACTTGTTTTAAATGCTTCTAATTTTGTACAAGGCTTTGGTATGTGGAAATGTCACTTTATAATACTAATGGTTGTTGTATACGTTTATTTGAATGTTTTCTGCATTTCAAACTGGATCAATAATTGTAAATGACACAAATGCATAGAGTGATAAAAGTATATTAACAGTTACATGTTTAACTTTGTACATAAATCTAGTTTGAAAAAAGTATTAGTAAATAAATACATATTTATCCCAATCTTTAAAAAATTTTTTGAAATCTAGGGCAAATGTATTGAAACTAGATGTCCTGGGCAGTAGTAGAAAACTATATGACTGAAGAATATTTGCAAAGAGAGAAGAAGCTAAAAAATGACAACAGAATTATACAACAATCAACTAAGCTGTCTTCAAATACAGTTTATATGGTCTCTTCCACATTTAGTCCCTTACACTTGCTCTGTAATATCCTGATATTCTAGCAGATAAATTAAAACTATTTCTCAAAAAGGAAATTTTCAACAAAATGCGTAATACCTTGTGTACAGTTACTAGTTTCATAAAACATTATCCAAATAACAATCAATTACTAGTGGTTAAAATTTATAGTAAGAAATTATTAAAAACAACAAAACATTATACTCTGTTCCAAATTTAGGCCAATCTGAGTGACTTGAACCCAACACAGGGATTACATTTTGTTAAATCTCATTGACCAGACTTTCAAAAATGTGATTACAGAGGTGGATCACGAGGATCATTCCCTCCATAGCTGAATTATCAGATTCAAAGATTCAACATCCATGTATTCACATAAGCTTCCTCCACCACTGCCCAACCTTTCCCGACCATAAAAGCTGCAAATTAGTTGGCGCTTTTGTAGCCTTTTTACTGAAGACCATAAGTTTGAGTTGTATTGTTCAATGTGAGGGTCACAATGAGAGAACGTGGATCTTTCTTATTCTTGTGCACTGTGATCTTTCCCTTCAAGGCTTCACCTATAGAAGAAAGGCAAAAATTGTGTTTCAGAATTCAAGGAATACAGCATAGCAGAAAAGCAACATGGTACACTTAGTATTGGTACTTCTCGTTTTTTGCTGTGAGATGTTTCACTTTTTTTTTAACTTAAAGATTTTCAGGACAATTTTATGTTTAATTTTTGAAGTAAGCAGACCTAACTTAGCTAGCATGGGTGTCAAACGCTTGTGAAAAAGCATAACTACAGTGGTCACTGCAGGGTTGGGGACTGGTTATTGGAATCCTCAATATGAGGCACTGCGGTACATCCTGGGCATATATAAAAAAGACATGGTCCCTGAACTCAAAGCGTTCACAGTTCTGGGCAAAGAAAACAGCAGTAGTGACAATTATGCAACAGGTCTAATAGGGTATGCTGACACAGAGGACTGGGGATGTTTGGAAGGCAGTAAAAGGTAAGGTTTCACAAGAATTAATTCACATGCTAGCAAGGTAATGCTCAAAATCCTTCAAGCTAAGCTTCAACAGTACGTGAACTGAGTACTATCCAGATGTACAAGCTGGATTTAGAAAAGGCAGAGGAACCACAGATCAAATTGCCAACATCCACTGGGTCACAGAAAAACCAAGAGAATTCCAGAAAAGTATCTACTTCTGCCTTATTGACTAGGCTAAAGCCTTTGACTGTGTGGATCACAGTCATAAACTGGAAATTCTTAAAGAGACAGGAATACCACATCACCTTAACTGCCTCCTGAGAAACCTGTATGTAGGTCAAGAAGCAACAGTTAGAATCAGACACGGAACAATGGGGCTCAAAATTGGGAAAGGAGTACGTCAAGGCTATATATTGTCACTTATTTCACTTACTTGCAGAGTACATCATGTGAAATGCAGGGCTGGATGAAACACAAGTTGGCAAAGATTGCCAGGAGAAATATCAACAACCTTAGATATGCAGATGACACCACCCTTATGGCAGAAAGCAAAGAGGAACTAAAGAGCCTCTTGATGAAAGTGAAAGAAGAGAGTGAAAAAGTTGCCTTAAAACTCAACTTTCAAAAAATGAAGATCATGGCATCTGGTCCCATCACTTCATGTCAAATAGATGGGCAAAGAATGGAAGCAGTGTCAGATTTTTTTTTGGGCTCCAAAATCACTGTGGATGGTGACTGCAGCCATGAAATTAAAAGATACTTGCTCCTCGGAAGAAAAGCTATAACAAACTTAGACAGCATATTAAAAAGCAGAGATATTACTTTGCTGACAAAAGTTCCTATAGTCAAAGCTATGGTTTTTCCAGCAGTCATGAACGGATGTGAGAGTTGGACTATAAAGGCTTAGTGTTGGAAGAATTGATGCTTTTGAATTGTGGTGCTGGAGAAGACTCTTGAGAGTCCCTTGGACTGCAAGGAGATCCAACCAGTCCATCCTAAAGGAAATTAATTCTGAATACTGATTGGAAGGACTGATGCTGAAGCTCCAACACTTTGGCCACTTGATATGAAGAGCTGACTCACTAGAAAAGACCCTGATGCTGGGAAAGATTGACAGCAGGAGAAGGGGGCGATAGAGGATGAGATGGTTGAATGGCATCACCGACTCAATGGGTATGAGTTTGAGCAAACTTCAGGAGATAACAAAGGTTAGGGAAGCATGGTGAGCTGCCGTACACGGAGTTGCAAAGAGTTGGACATGACTGAGTGAATGAACAACAAAGGGATAAACTATCTGAGGACTACAGAAGCCAGGACAGAAGAAGACTGCTGAACACTCAGGATGATTCACTAGAGACTCCAGGTTACATTTTAGCATTAAACTACCCTAAGAGTAAAGTCAACACCAGTCCTACCTAACAAAGCTTTAAAACATTTTTTGTAAAGATCAAGGTAATCTTTAAATAACTGTCTGCCTAAGCAAACTTCAACGCTTTTAAAAGAAACTAACCAAAATCCAACCATTCAGCAAAACAAAATTTCTAGTGTCTGACATTCATTTAAAATGTCTAGATTTTTAAATAGCTGCAAATTGAGGCTTATAAGCAGGGGAAAAAAGTTACAGCAATAAAAAAAACACATTTAGGCATATCTTAATTAACTTCCTGAAAACCAGTGATAAAAACAATAATCTTTAAAACTTTCAGAGGGGGAAAAAGAAGACTTATTATATATAAAAGAAGAGAGAAAAGAGCAACCTCAAAATTTTCATCAGCTAGACATATTTTTGCACTGATGAAAGAAAACCTATTAAGAATTTGATATCCAGCAAAAATCCTTAAGAAAATGAAAAATAAGAACAAGTTATTTTTTTTTCAAAGGAACAAAAGCATTCTTTTCCAGGAGGCCTGCACTATAAGAAATGTTAAAGGAAGTTCTTTAAACAGGAGGAAAACGACACCAGAAAGACACTTGGATCTACACAAAGGAATAAACAGTGCTAGACTATAGTAAGTATTTGGTAAATAAAAGATGTTTTCTCCTTTTGAAAACTTATTTAATAGATACAAATCTTAATACATTTAAACATACAGACATCATACAGAATATGTTCTGACCAAAACAGAATGATACTGAAAATCAGTAAATCCCAAAATATTTAGAAATTAAACAACAGATTTCTAAATATTCCACAAATCAGGGACTTCCCTGGTGTTCCAGTGGGTAAGACTCCGTGCTTCTACTACATGGGATGCCATGTGGTGAAAAAAAAAAATTTCATAAATCAAAATAAAAATCAAGAAGAAAATTAGATGACATTTTGATCTGAATGATTATGAAACCAACATATAAAAATAGGTGGCTTATAACTACAACACTGCTTAGATGAAAAATTGTTAACTTTAAATGCTTATATTAGAAAAGAAGACAGACACAAAGGTCTTCACTGGGGGAACTGTATCCAACATTTAAGGAAAAATAATAACAAATGTATAAAAAACACAGGAAGGAATACTCCCCAATTCATCTTTTGAGGGCAGCATTACCCTTATACCAAAATTAGATCAAGTTATTTGAAGAAAACGACAGAGATATATATCCCTCATGAACAAAGATTCAAAAATTCTTTGAACAAGAGAAAAAATATGACTGCGTCACACAAATGTAGAAAAAGCCTCTAACAAAGTTAATTTCTAACAACTTTCAGCAAGCTAGGAATAGAAGGAAACTTCTTTAACCTGATAAGAGAAAATCGATGAGAAACTATAGATAACATCATTAACTGTGAAAAACTGAATGGTTTCTTCCTAAGACTGAGACTGAAGTAAGGATCTAATTCTGACTGCCTCTAATTAGTATTCTATCGGATGTCCTAGTCAGGGCATTAAGATGCAGAGGAAGAAAAAAAATACAGATTGGGGAAAAAAATGGTAAAATGGTCTTTATTTGCAGACCATATGGTCTTACACATAGAAAATTCTTAAGCACTATGCAAAAACAAACAAACAAACAAGCAAAAAACAGAAAACAGCTACTAAAACTCTAAAAAGGTTTAGCAATCTCAGGACATAAGATCAATATAAAAAATTAATTCCCCATTGTTACACATGAGCAATGAAGAATTAGAAACTGAAATAAATAACAGTAGCATTTATAATAGCACTGAAAAAGCATACAATTCTTGAGATAAATGTAACATATATGCATCATTTAGTTATATCAAATTATAAAGATGATCTAAGTAAATGAAACATTTTGTTTGTGTATGACAATACTGTTTTAAGATGTTAATTCTCCCCAAAGTAATCTATAGATTCAACACGGTCTCAATCAAAATCCCAGCAGGACTGTTATTTGGGCAGAATTTAAGTTGACTTTAAAATGCATATGCAAATTTTAAAGAGTCCAGAATAGTGAGAGAAAAGAATAAAGCAGGAGGATTTATCTCATCTTACAGTGTCTTACTGGTGTAAGGAAAGACACATAGATCAAGGAAACAAAGTTCAGAAACAGACATGCATACATGGTTAATTAATTTTTGACAGAAGAGCCAAGGTAATTAAACGGGAAAAGAAAAGTCTTTTCAAGAAATGATGGTGAAACAACCTAATATAAATTTGGAAAAAGATGAATATTACTTTTAAAATCAACATGAAATAGTTTATAATCCTAAATGTACAGGCAAAAATATAAAGCTTTCAGAACAACTGTATAGGAAAAGCTGTGATGTTAGAGTAGCAAAGATTTCTTTACTTAGGCCACAATAACACAAAGTTCAAAAGACCTTAAGAAAATGAAAGGGCAAACTAGGATTGAGATAAAAATATCAGCAATGCATATATCTGACAAACAACTTGTACCTTATAAAGATTCTTATAACCCAGTAAGATGACAACCCAACCAAAAATTGAGCAAAATATCTTAAAAGAAACCTCACCAAAGACGACATACAAATGACCAATAAACATATGAAAAGATGCTCAACATCATTAGTCATGAGGTAACACAAATTAAAAACACAGCTGTCACTACATACACTTAGAATGACATATTAAAACGATTCCCCTTTTGTATTAAGTGTCGGCAAAGATGTGGAGCAAACAAACCCACAACAGTGTAGGAACCTTGAATAGTACAGTCACTGTGAAAAAGTTTGCCAGCATCTTACGAAGTTAAGTATTTATTTACCATAAGACCTAATAATTCCACTCCTAGGTATCTGCCTAGGAGAAATGAAAACATATGCTCACACAAAAACTTTTACAAGAATGTTCATATTAATTTTATCCACAATGGCCCCTAACTGAAAACAATCCAAAAGTCTATCAGCAAGTGAAAGCATATGTACATTATAGTAAGTCCACACAAAGAAACATTATTTGGCAATAAAAAGGAGCAAATTACTGATTCACAGATGCACTCTTTTTTTTTAATACTTATTTATTTATTTAACGGTGCAGGGTCTTTAGTTGCAGCATGTGGGCTTTTTTAGTTACAGCATGTGAACTTTCACTTGCAGCAAGTGGGATCTAGTTCCCTGGTCAGGGATCGAACCTGGGTCCCCTGCACTGGGAGCCTGGAGT